TGAGGATGGAGGGGCAGGCAGCGGGCAGGGGCTGGGTACCCAGCAGCCGTCCAGACGGGTCTGTTCCTCCCCACTGCTCTCAGACACCGCAAGAGGAAGCAGTGGCGAGCCGGGCAAGGGGTGCACGTGGTGGGGAGGAGCCCGGGACCCTCTGCGGGGCGGGAAGGCTTGATTTCCCCTCGAGGAGGGACCGGGGAGGCACATGGGTGACAGAGGTGACGCTCGAACACTTTGTCTAGACCCCAGATAAGACCTGCGGTTTCTTTTGTCCCCTCTCGCTGCTCCTGCTTGCGCAAGCCTTGCACGTGACCCCCCCACCCCTGCAAGTCTTGGCTTTCCACTTGCACAGCCTCTAAGCATCTCTTCTGCACACACCTCCCCTTGCCCTCAGCTGCTTTGATGTCCTTTGTTGCCCAGTGCTGGTGCCCAGGGCTGGGTACTGGTGGGGTTTTAAATGGTTCCTAAAGTCATGCTGGAGGAGAGGGGTTTCAGCAAGACACCGTGCTGACAGGTACCTTTCATAAAGGGAGCCGTCCACCCAGAACCAGGCATCCGAGACCCCCTCGCCCTCCGGGTCCTCTTCCTCCAGCCCGCCGTAGTCATACCAGGGGAAGCTGCTCTTCTGCAGCCCGATCCAGTATGAGATGTCTGCATTCTTTAGGAAGGTCTGAGGAAGGAGAAAAAGGGCCTTTTAGTGGCTTTTTCGTGGCACCTATGTGCTGCAGTGTTTGCAGGGAGTGCCCATCTCCCCAAGCAGCCCCTGGGGCTGGAGCTCCTTGGGGCAGGACAGCTGAGCATCCCCAGTGTCCTGCTCCAGCCCAAGCAGCATCCAGGGGTGCCAGAACCTCTCTGCCCCATGTCCACAACCAGCCACGTGCCCCAGAAGTCAGCCTTGAACCCTCCAATGTCGTGGCAGGCCAGAGGGGTGCTGGCCCACTGGGGGACCCCAGGGCTGGAATGCTCCAGCTCCCACCCTCAGCCCTCCCAGCACCCTACCGGCACAGTCCAGCGACTCCAGGATTTGGTGACCAAGAGCTGAGAATATTTCTTCTCGCACTCATCTCTGCTGTCCTCCCATGTCTTCTTCTCCGACGAGATGAAGAGGCACTTGCCCCTGTACAGCAGCCAGCCCGAGGGGCAGCAGTCTGGGGGCAGGGGCACAGCTCAGGAACTCATCCAGCCTTGGAAGCCTGGAGGGGGTCCAGCCTGGACGGGGAACAGCCCCTGCATCTCCCCAGCAGACACTGCAGTCTCAGCCTCTGGTCCAGGCACAGCTTCAACCTTCGGACTGCTCCATCCCCACCGTGTGGCCAAAAAGCCAGTGCCAGTGCCTCAGCGCTGCATCTGCTGAGGGATGCCAGTCCCCTGGGGCACCCCATCCCTGCTCCATCATGGCCCTACCTATAGCCGTGCAGGAGCGCAGGATGGCCACAGTGCTCTCGCTGTTGTTGAGCTTCCCCTGCACCTCCTGCATCTCCTTCTCTGTCTTCCCCAGGACCTCCAGGACGTGCTCCAGGTTGGCGGTCAGGCTCTCCAGCTCCAGCCGGACGCCGTTGCCGTCCCACCACGCTCTCTGCAGCTCCGCTCTGGCCCACGCCAGCTCCACCCGTGTCTGCTGCAGGCTCTGCTCCCGCGCGCTCAGCTCCTGCGAGAGGCGGCCCTGCTCGGCCGCGTGCTCGTGTCCCGCAGGCTGCGGGTGACCTGCCAGTCTGGGGACAGGGCGCGTCAGCTAGGGCACTGGGACGGGGCAGCCCGGGTGGCATGACATGGCACCCCACTCAAGGGTTGGGGTGTCCACACTGCGTGGGGAAGGACGGGACAGACACGGCAGCAAAGCGGACATTCAGGGGCTGGGCAGAACCTGGCAGGGGAGAGCAGGGCAAGGCGGGACAGGGTGCAGGAGCAGACGGAGCAGGGCAGAGGCAGGGAGGGCACAGCGATACAAGGCTGGGCAAGGCTGGAAGAGAAAGGGACTTCTCCGTGGCGTGCGAGGGATGCAGGCCAGCTTGTGGTGGACAGGGCAGAAGGACCCAGCCACTAGCAGTGTGCGCAGGCATGCCTCTGTTCACCCCCGTGTTCTCTCAGAGCATCCACCCTAGCCCAGCTGCCACACTCCCCCCCGTGCCGCCCAGCCACCCCCAGCCCCAGCAGTGCCCACCCCACAGACTCACAGCAAGCCCCCAGGGCCACGGTGGCCACCAGCAGCAGCAGGCAGATTGTCAGCAGCCCCACAGTGATGCACCACCGCCGGGACCAGCGCCCTGCAAGACGCAGCCAACCACGGGCATCACTGGTGAGCTGGGAAACCCCTCGCAGCCCCCAGACCGCATCGTGATGGCACAGGTGGCACCGTGTGGGTGCTTCCTCTTCAAGAACAAGAGCCAGAGCACCCTGACACAACACCCACTACCCGCACCAGGACCTCCCCCAGTCTCCTGGGCTCCAGATGGGCACTCACCTGGGCTGGGCTGGGCCCCATCTCCGTCCCCATCCTGCCCCGCCGGCGCTGGCTGCACGTTCTCGTAGGGGCTCTCGGCCTCATCCATGCCAAGGGCTGTTGGAGGAAGGCAAGGGAGAGTGGCTGAGTCTGTGGGGCTGGGCATGGCGGAGGTGGCGTGGGGTGTCCCGTGGGCTCTCACCTGCCTCCAGTGCCTGGCTGGCCGTGCTCCGGCCCCCCATCACCTTGGCAAACCTCAGGTCAGCATAAAGCACGCTCTGGGCCATGTGGACAAGCCCTGGGGAAGTCCTGAGCCTTGCTGGTTCCCACCCTGCCCTGGAGATTCCTTTCTGGGATGGTCCCACTCCCCAGGAATTGTGCCGTCTCTCAGGGGTGCAAAGGAGAAGTGTGGCCGGTGTCTGCAGAAGCAGAAGTTTTCTCTGAGCTGTAGCAGATGGGACCAGCGAGGCACGGCTGCAGGGACCAGCACCCTTTCATTGGTCCCAGCATCACTGGCCCGTCCCCTCCCACGCCCCAAAAGTGCTCACGGTCACACGGCAGAGCCAGACCAGCACAGCCTGAGGTCAGAGCAGCAGCAGAGCAAGGATGGACCCAGTTCCCTGGGCAGGGAGAGCTGGGGGAGAGCAGGGCCAGCCTGGACACAGGAGCACATTGCGCTGGGGACAGCCCTGTGGAGGGCTGGAGGTATTCACGGATGGAGATTTCCCCTCCTGTCCTCTGGGAATGGAAATTTCCCCATGATGCAGCTTGTGCCACTGCTTCTCATCCTCTTCCCGTTGCCCTCCTAGATGACCCCAGCTTTGCCATCACTCAGACCTCCCCCCAGAGAGTTGCACAGAGCAATGGTGTCATTGCTTCTTCACCTTCCCTTCCCCAGACCACAGCCCGAGCACTCACAGCACCTCCTCCTTCGTCCCGACCTCCAGCCCCTCTGAATCTCAGAGGCCTCTGCTAAACTGCACCCAGGGAAAGGTGTGATTCGGAGAGGGGCACTGAATTGGGACCGGCTGGGCACAGCTGCACACAGCCAGTTCCTGGAGCAGGACTGGAGGTGTGCAGGGGTGCTGATGGAGCACAGCGTTGTGAGGCCAGTCACTATAATCTCTGCAACAGCAGGGAAGTCCTTCGTCACTGGAGAAAGGTGAAAACCATGGCCGAGTCAGAGGGGGCAAGAAGGAATTCTGGAAAGCTAAAGGCTGAGCAGATTCCACCTAATCCCCAGGAACGAGATGGGCCACGTCCTCCTGGGCATGCAGTGGTCCAGGTCCAGGTGGTGGCTGGGGGATCCCGGCGGGATTTACCAGGGGGAAGTGGCACCCGTCCCACCTGCCTGTCTGCTTTTGCGGGAGCACTGGGCTGGGCACAAGGGAAATGCGATGGGCACCATTTATCAAGGCCCCTTGAGGTCTCAGACATGGTCCCCTGTGGTGCCCATGCTGACAGAGGGGGGCAATGTGGCCAGGAGAAGGGGAGAAGAGCAAGACCTCGTGCTGCAGTGCGGAAACCCCTTTTAGGCATTAAGGCAAACGTTTCTGCGCAGCAGCAATGCTCAAACCCCGGAGAAGAGCACAGAGGGGAACCTCCGTTCGATGCGGTCAGCCCCAAAGCCACATTCTCCACGTGGAAGCCGGCGCCGCTTTCCCCTGCCCCAGGGATTTGGGTCGATTCTCGGTAGGACGGGCCCCGCAGCTCTGGCCAGTGCCCCAACCCCAAGCTGCATTGCCCCACCGCCATCCCAGGGGACCTGAGCAGTTTTGGGGTGTGGAAGAGGACCGGACGGCGGCGCTGGGGCCAATGGCAGGGCGCGTGTCCCCGTGGCCATGCTTTCCTGCTCCCGCCTGCCACACCTCACAGCACACTTCTGCTTCTGCAGAAACCAGACGCACTTCTCCTTTGCAGGGCAGAGAGAGGGGGCGAGCGTGGCGGAGCAGCAGCCATCAAGGCCATTGGGGCAGCTCAGAGCATGGCCCAAAGCGTGGTCTACGCCGCCCTGAAGTTTGCCCCGGCCCCGCCGCTCACCGACCCTGCCTGCCCCGC